TTTTGGAGAGAGTCTTTGTAATGATTGGATGAATATTGGCATATATTCTATTTCTGCGGCTTTAATGTGGTTAATATTGAAATATGATTAAAAGTCATTTTTGAGACCAGGACATTTCTTCTGTGGAGATTTGGTTTGTATCATATTGGGATTAATAGCTTTTCTCTCCTGTTAAGACACTGTCTGTGTTACTTGGCTTAATTAATTTCTTCTCCAATTTTATGTAGATACTTGTTTCCCAAAAAATTAACTAGATTTTTTATTTGTTGATTGATAGGTATTTTCCTGTTCCTTTAATTTTTCTGATTGTTTTTGTCTTGTATCAATCTTTTTCAGCCCATCATATAATACACCCATGGGTGTATTATTTTCCTTCAATTTATTCTTGAAATGTACTTATGTACTTCAATTTATGACTAAAAAATTACATTATTTGATTCCTCTATGGTTTTTTCAACATTTACTGATTAATTTTTAATCTATTCAATTACTTAATTCTTTGTCTACACTTTCATTATTAAGGGCATGGACTCGGAATTTTTATTAACTTATTCGAGCAGAAGCGAGCTCTTGTTTTGGCTGGTATTGTGTGTTTACTTTCAAGGAGTTTGTGATCTAATTCAAAGTAGGAGTTTTATACTAACATCTGTCACAAACGGCTGAATACCAGAATCTGAGAGGATGAAGTCAATAGTATTTTTTTATTATCTGGACTATAACATGTGATGTGGTGTTTGATGGGATGGTAAAACCATGTTTTAAGTTTGGTATGTCTTTCTGAGAAACAAAAATTTGGCAAGCGTTCACCATTGCTATTTGAAGCTTCTGGTTCTAATGGTGATGTCTTCGTACCATCAAGGAAGAAAAATGTTTAAAAATGCTAGAGTTTACATTAAATTTCCAATTAATGCACAGTTTTCTGTTTTTCTACGATACAAATTTTAATAAATCCTTTGTAAAGTTCTCTTTTTTCAGTTGGGGCATAAGGTGACGTCACTTGAATCTTTCAGTCATGAACCACAAAGTCGTCACCCATAGGTCTTTCTACCTGGTGTATGATATTGACTATAACAACATGTAATGATTTACTTATTGCGATTCCAACTCTATGTTTCTTTCCTTCTTGTGGCCAAACCCAATAAAATTGTATCCCAAATCTCCAATCGATCCGTAAACAAGCCGACGCACCTATTTCATACAGACAGCATCAATTTTGATATTTTACATTTATCTAAAAGTGTGCCCTAAAATCATTCGATTCTGACTGGAGTTTGATTTGTTGCATTTTCAACTCTATAGTCAATTCTTTAGTTGATTAGTTGATTAAATGTGAGGTGTCTGACTCGAACTTTCTTTAACAATAGCAGTTGTTTCAACCTCGGACTGGTGTATCACAGACCATTGCGTCCCTTGTTAACCTGCGTTCAGATGACGCGATATGTACTTATATTTTTAGGCATTCACATGAGGTTTAAATATTGCTTTTATATTAAAGTTTCCCTCTCTAACGTAGATGAATATGGAAATGGCTAATAAGCGTTATCTATCTATCTATCTATCTATCTATCTATCTATCTATCTATCTATATATATATATATATATATATATATATATATATATTTGCTTATATATCGGAACTTGTCTTACCTTGAATGAAGTGCCTCCACTACGGCAAAGGGTGCTCATGTCACATAAAAATCAACGTGCGTTCTGGGGATTGATAGTGAAGTGGTTTTCCGTTGCTTTCCCCACGGTTGTTTTTATTGAGACACAACCTCCAGTTAGCAGCCTTTTCGATTCTCAAGAGTTCTTACTCCCTTTAATATGTCTTATTTTTCACCCTACGACTCTCTCGCAATAAATTGTAATTTGGGGGCCGAAAAATCTAGTGGAGATTTCATATAAGTTTTAACATTTAAAAATTATTTTTTAAAATTTTGTTATTCTCCACTTTAGTCGATTTTTTGGGACAGAGTGGATGGTGTGTTGCATTTCTAAGCTTCCGTATGAGACTTGGACGATATCTTTTTGGTGCCAAAATTTACAGAAGCAAATTTGGTCAAAACTTAAAGGGGGAAATTTACAAATCTAAATAACACATTTCCAAGTAGAAAATATAATTTGAAAAATCACAAGGTATACAAATAGAAAAAAAAATATTGCCAATCACCTCTGAAAAGATCCTGGGTCAACATTAGGAGAATAATCTGAGAAGGTATTCCCAGGAAACCATTTATTTTTCAATATGCCTAAGGTTTGATCTGGCAGAACATATACAGTTTGGAACTATCCATTTTTATTTCACATCTCTCTCTCTTTCTCTTTATGTCTCCTTGTCCCTCTACCTCTCACCTTCTATATATATATATATATATATATATATATATATATGTGTGTGTGTGTGTGTGTGTGTGTGTGTGTGTGTGTTGTGTGTGTGTGTGCTCGTCTGTGTGAATATTGGAAAATGATATATATATATATATATAGAGAGAGAGAGAGAGAAAGAGAGAGAGAAAGAGAGAGACAGAGATAGAGAGATATAAAGGGGGAATTGAAATGACTCTCACATGTTTGCTGCAAGTTAGTCATACACGTGTAATATTAGACATACCGTCTTTTCAAAATAAAAACAAGTTAATTCGTTTAGCGACCTGAACATTCGAATGGGAGGAAATGAAATACCAATTTTTATATACCAGAACAAGGTTGGTTAAAAATATTAAAGAGAAAGTGGAAAATTATTTGCCTGTGGTGCGTTTCCTTTTTCTTAACGACTTCATCAAACTCAAGAGATGTTTACACTGATTTAACTACTAATGCACCCAATGCGAAAGGGACTTTGCATTTGTAAATTTTGTAAGTTAAGTAATTTCATTTAGTTTCTGTTTCTTTTTTCGTTCTGAATATGTCCTGGCCGGACACACGATAGGCATAGTTAAAACAATAAATCTTCTTGGGCAGAATACATATCCGAATAGAAAATATAAGAAGTTAAATCAAAAAGTATACAAATGAAACAAATTAAAATAGTGTAAAATATCTATGAAGACGTCTATATTTCTGAGATGAGGTATTATGTACATTATTTACATTATTCGGACTATTGTCCTCATCTTTGTCGCCATATTTATCACAACGTTTTATCGTTTAGTGATAAATATGGCGACAAAGATGAGGACAATAGTCCGAATAATGTAAATAATCTATGAAGACATCCTGCTCCAGCTTTTATAATAATCTGGGATGATTTCATTCTTTTATTGGGTTTTGTAGATAGAATCTAGCGATTTCATTTGGAATGATTTCTTTTTCTTTCATGTTTCTATGACTTTTGTCATTAAAATCTCATATTGTGATAACAGATATGCCAAGAATAGTGGAAAGTTGTACGAACCTGGATTCAAATTGACTGTTGATGATCTATCAACGAAAGCAATTTCTAAAAAAAAAATTCTCTTTGTGAATTGTGTTCACTTTTAATTAGAGTAACATTTTTAAATCAAAATTGTGGTCAGTTTCGTTACGTAAGCAACTAATGCATTTAATATGATCTTTTATGTTGTACATGATCTTTTATGTTGTACATGATATCTTGCACATTTAATTATCTATCATCCTTCCGTGCATTGAATACTCTTGCCATATGTGGTCTGCTCCTTCTGCTGTATAAATAGAGGTTGTTTAAAAATCCAAAAAAGGATATGTAATGTAATCAATCCTGACCAAGTATCTCGAATTCAGTCACTTTCTCATCGACGTGACGTGGCTTCCTACTGCATTTTCTACTAATATTTTCATGGCAACTGCAGTGAAAAGACATTTTACTCTGGTGCGCCGACCACATGAATGTAAACGTGTTACTAGATTGGCATCGAGGCTCCACTCATTTACTGTTGAAATAGGTAAATGTAAACGCCATTTTAACTCCAACAATATGGGAAGTGCCAGAAAAGAAATTGTTGGAGTTTATTTGTTTGCCAGATAACTACAATCTTCAAAAGTGTAAATACAATCATCTTCTTCTTCTCTTATATATATATATATATATATATATATATATATATATATATATATATATATATATATATATATATATATATTAAGATATTACATCGAAAACAATTCAAAATTCAATTCTAATTGCAGCCGTCTTTCGATGCGTATCAATGCACCTCCTCAGACATTTAGAGGTTACTTGTGAGTGAACAATTTATTTAGATTTAAAAGCAAAATACAACGTCATTTTACGAAAAAAGAAAAAAAAATGATGGATATATGGTTTGTGAGCTTTACTCAGATCAGCCAATCAAATATGACCTACGTTAAATTTAATCTAAGCGAAGAAGCAAAACTTAAGAAATTTTTTTTCATAAATGTCATGACCTGTAAATTAGCAGTCAATGGCAACGCAGACGTTAAACAGTAGCGGATGTTAATTGATACACATTATACACACAAGACAATGCCATTTGAAATAGAGTAATAATTTAAGTTATATGCTTTGTGAGTTTTCTGCATAAAAAAATATATTTATTGTTGATAAATAAATAGATTTCTTTAAGAGACCAGCAAATGATCTAAACGTATAGAAATACTTGGTAATTTAATGTGCAGTTGTTGACTAAAGATTCTTTATATAAGATGTTAACAACAATAATCTATTTGTTCTCATCTTACTTGTATATATATATATATATATATATATATATATATATATATATATATATATATAGTCAAACCTAGTGAGCCAGAAAAATCTGCAGGTTTCACCTAAGTGGATCGTCAGAGAAAGCTGGGTTTTTTAAAACCTTTTTTTCCTTCGAGATTGATTTGATTATTGGCAAATGAAAAATTCGAAGGTTTTTCCAGACGAGTATAGTTAACTATATATATATATGTATATATATATATATATATATATATATATTCATATACTATGAATTTTATATATGTTATGGGGTCCTTCCCTTTTCATATAAGTGGACTCTACCAGTGTTACTTAGAGAAAGAGAGAGAGAGAGAGAGAGAGAGAGAGAGAGAGTATACGAACGGAGATAGTGTGAGGTAACCTCTTGTAGAAGTCAGTTACAAGCACGTAGACTCTAAGGAAGTCCTACTTCGAGACTGTATATATCTATCTGTATTTTTTACTAACCGTGTTCCTGGATTTACTAACAGTATTACTCTTTGTATGATTGTGTAAATACATTTTATTTCTTATATTTAATTATTGCGTTTGTCATTCATTGGAGACCGAATTCATCTCCGAATCCACAACAACTTGGCGACAAGGATTCGAACACACGCGGAAAACCAAAAATCAACAAAAGGAAAATATTCCCTCGTCGTCCAACAACTTGGCGACGAAGATTCGAAAACACGCGGAAAACAAAGAATCAGCAAAAGAAAAATATTCCTTCGTCGTTCCAAAAAAAATTGGCGACGAAGATTCGAACCCAAGCGGAAACGAAAAAATCAACAAAAGACAAATATTCCCTCGTCGTCCAACAAGCAAATTAGCTTCGAGCGATTCGAACTCACACGAAAAGAAGAAATAGAAAATCTTTCTCCTGTCGTCCAACAACAAATTCGCGACAAACAATTTCGAGGAGTAAAAATATATAAAGTTGAGTTATCATGGAAGATTTTAAAAATATTTTGGTAGAACTGATAAAACACCAAAATGAGCAACAATTACAAATACAAAAATACCAAAATGATCAGCAGTTACAGCTACAAGAAAAATGGCAAAAGCAAATATTACAAACGCAAAAGGAAAATCAAGATAGACAAACAGAGCTCCAGGAACTAATATTGAAAGTAGCGGGCAACAAGCAATTAGATATTGAAAAAGAAGCAACATTTTCGCAAGACGCAGTGTGGAATACCATAGAGATTTTCAAATATTCTCTGGATGAGGACAAAAATTTTGGAGATTACTTCAGAAGACATGAAGACATCTTTAAATAGACTGTCAAAATTGGACAGAAGCAAAAATGCTACGTCTATTGCTTAGAAAATTAGGAACTGAAGAATATACAAAGTTCGTGGATTATATATTGCGAAAAAAGACGAACGAATTAAAATTTGACGAAGCAGTGACATGTCTTAAAGAACTCTTCAGCCCCAAAACATCCCTCTTCCATAGGAGGTAGAAATGCCTTAACCTGGTAAAGGGCGATAATGAGGATTATTCCACGTTTGCCTCAATCGTAAATAAACATTGTGACGACTTCAAACTAGCGGAATTAACCCCGGACAATTTTAAATGTCTCATCTTTGTTCAAGGGCTAGTTTCTACAAAAGATAGCGAAATGCGCAGAAGAATGCTTGCAAAATTACAAAATGAACCAGGTCTAACATTACAGCAATTATTGGAAGATTGCCAGAGATGTTTAAGCATGAAGAAAGACGCAAATGACATTGAGGAATCAGCTGTTTCTCATATACGTAAGTTAAACAAAAGTCTACGTTCTTCACCCTCCCCGGAAGAAAACTAAAAATTTTACGACAATGAAAAAGATTCTCACCCTCCCGGAAAGAAAAATAAAATATTATGATAAGAGAAAAACTACAACATACAGGACAAATTATGACAAATATCGAAACAAATATAAGCCCCTTCCATCAGCATGTTATCGATGTGGAGGATTACACTGGAACAAGGATTGCCGCTTTAGATATAAAAAAATATCTTGAATGTGAAAAAAAAGGCCACAAGGCATCCCAATGTAGAAATAGAAAAGATACTAATAGAATAAGAGCTACAAGAATGAATAAGGATGACAACATCAATGTAAGGAAATATGTGGAACTGGAAATTTTAAATAAAAAGATTAAATTACAACTGGATTCGGGTTCCGGACTCACGATAATCAACTTACAGACGTGGAAAAAACTCAACAGACCTACCATGTTACACACTAAAAAAATTGACAAATCAGTTACAGGCAAAGAAATAAAATTTGAGGGAGAAATAATCATGAATGTTAAATTTCACGG